TATTCATGGCCTGTTTCCCTGGAGTGGAAAGACCTTTAAAAGAAAATATGATAATAAACATGCCAAATTCAAGTTTTTCCTGCCCTTTCTAGAGGCACATAAAGGAGTAATTTAATCAAACCTCTTAGCATTACAACAGAAAAATAGTACCTCAAAATACTCCTAATAATAAATAACTAATGTACAAAGCAGGCATATATTTGATGGTATCTATACATAATGGAGAATTAAAAAGCTAGTTAGCATTCTGAGTTTTTAATGTGAGCACTGTGTAAGTATTTATCTTTTTAATGAAAAAAGAAAGAAAAACAAGAGAAAGAGAACACTAATCTCACATAAACCTAAAAAGGATTTAACCATGTAATTGAGGGGGAAAAAAAGCACCATTAATTGATTAATGCGTTCAGCATGAAACTGGTTTTTTTCTGAGAAAAGAATAAAGTAATAATCATTAGAGAAGACAGTTTGAAAGCTGAGAGTGCTCACTGAGACAATGAGTGGAAACAAAGCAAAGAACTATTGAATAGAAAAGTGAGAAAAAAAACAAAAAATAGATTTTAACATCTTATGTTAAAGTCAGATCAAACACTTTCATTACAAAAATTCTGAATTAAATTTTTATTTTTCTGGGTAAAAGTTGATTTTTAATCTTATTTTGGCTACAATAACAAACTGGAGTGCTTTTTGCATGTCAGTTTTCATTTAAAGGCCTATGTCTGGAACAATAGGAAGAAAGTGTGATAGTCTTACCATCAAGTGATGAGTTACATTTTCAAATGACCTGCTTCAGTGACAAAGAAGTTTCATTTTTGCTGTAAACTTCAGTTATTTTTTTAATTGTATCTACTGAACTTTGAGAAGACATGATTTGCTTTCTAGCAATACATAAATTTGCTGAGTTTGAAATAACTATCAGCAATCTTTTTCAAAAATATTCAATCAATTTTAATATATGTAAGATAAAATTGACATTAAAGTTATAATTAATCAAAAATTTAAGGTTAACATTTAAATATTTCTATGAAAACTCTAGTAAAACTTATTTGATTAATAAAGGAGAGTATAGTTGAAAAAAGCATTTATACTTTCTTACTTATTAATGAAATATTGATAATCTACAGGCTTGTTACATTCATATGTTTAATATTTTATCTGATAGATAAGATATTGGTAAAATCTTAGAATCAGATAATGAACTTTATCAAATGAGCTATAAAGCTAACCACTCATTTATCTCAGGGTAAATTTTCATCTTATTTATTGTGGAATAGCTTCAACCATTTTCAGGAGTAAAAATTAAACTTAAATTATATTTTTGAAGACTAATTTTGATAGATTTTTATTAAAGTTGAAAAAACACATAATTTTCTTTTAAAAGACAGCAACATTATATATATATATATATATATATATATATATATATATATATATATATATATGCACACACACAACATAAACCAGTCATCATTACACAAATATACCGACAAATACATTTTTTGAAATAAAGTCGTGAATTTCTTTTAGCAACCAAAAGAAATTCACAACTTTATTTCACTAATAGCAATATATTATTTTCCCAACATTTCTTCAAAAGCAACAAAAACTTAAACAAAGTATTTTAAACTATTATATCCTAATTCATTCATCCCTGTTTCTTCATTCTTGATGTCTTTATTATATTTCAACTGCAATATCCTCCAGCTTTTATAAGTTATCAGTTGTTTTTGATAACCTACCAGAAATGTAGAACTTTTTATTCCTATAACCTTGCTAGAAAATTTAAAATCTTATAACCCACAATTCTTCATGATGATGCCAATCTCTCCACTGAGCCAGTGTATATTTCTACACTTCTTAACCCTAAATAAATTTATAATTGTCAGAGACAAAAATGAGCTTTAGGAACACTTATTAACTTGATATCTTTAAATCACGTAGTTGATGATAAAAAGAAAATAAAACATTTTTCCTCAAAAGCTTATATTAGTGCCCACATAGATTGAAAACAATATTTATTTAAAGAGAGAATTAAATATCTTCCAGACTGCCTGAAATTTTGTTTTAAGTCTGTAATTTGTATGTAATACTTTTTTATAACTTCATAAAATTTGTGATTTTATAATGTTGCACAGAATTTAATAAATCATTTCATCTTCTTTTAATACACTTTTACCGAACACTGTCAGATAGAAGAGATGATAAATTCTAAACTGTTTCTTACACATTCAACCTTAGGACTGTTGTGATTGATTGACTCATTCATAGCAGTATAAATACATAATTACTTTACAAATATCTTTATATATTACTTCAAAACTTTATTGTAGTGAATAGACACACCATTTTTATTTTTACTTTAAACAGTGAGCATTACTTCTAGTCTATTGGCCTGCCCTGCTTATTCTATTTGAAAGCACATAGACTAAAAAAAAATGTATTTGAAATGAATCCATTAATTCTTTATATATATATATATATATATATATATATATATATATATATATTATATTATATATGAGGTACCTCCACTAAAAAGAGGATACCATAATGAAAAAACAGCCCCAAACTTGATAAAAACAGTTTTATCATCAAAATGTTTGTAATTATTAAGAGGAAAGACCAAAGTATTTCTTAAATATTTTATTAAATTTCTGAACCCTTTGTAGCATGTTTGAAATTTTTGTTAAAAATTTTGTTTTTCTTGCATCAGCTTAAAGATTGGTATAGGAAATTTTAGTGTCTTTTTTGTGGTAAAAATCACATTTTTTGGAAATTCTTGAAAAAAAAAAATCAATTGTTTGATTTTAATGAAATTGTCAGGACTTGTTTAGAAATGATTGAGGTTATTTTTAAAAAATTTTTTTAATTTATGAAATTTTGAGAAATTAAATTTCACCCACTTCATATTTACATTATTCAAAAGCAGTACCCCTTGGAGAATTTAAATCATTTTTTTTTGTAAAACAAACACCATTTACCAAGAATCTGCTCTGAATCATAAAATAAAAAATGCAATAATACTAAGACATTATTTAATTAGTAAAGCTTTTAATTGCTTTTGTAAATAATTATTATTAATAATAATAATAATAATAATCATCATAATAATAATAATAATAGATGTATGCACTATAGTCTGAAGTGGGGGAAAAAATCTGATGGATGAGTAATTACTACAAGGATTTAAAAAAGTTTTTTTAAAAAGAGAATTATATTGCAATAAACACAGGCTAAAATCAATTTTTTGACAAAAAAATCTAGTCAATTTAAATTAGTTTTGAAAGTATTTTGCTTATTGGAAATATTAAATTTAATCTATTAACTTCAAATTAAAACTAAAATAAAAGCATCAATAAAAATATTTCATTTTAAAAAATTCATTTTAAACCTTAGGTATTGCAAATCTGTGGAGGTATTTAATATATTATATATAAATAAGCACATCACAACCAATTATTAGTATTATTTACATAAATATTATAATTGCAGATTTACATGTAGATCCCTTATCAGATCAATTGAAGGTATTTTTAAAATATCACATATAAGAACACTCTATAGTCAAGGTGAAAATCAAAATGAATAAATGATTAATAATTCACAGAAGAAACTATTTCCAGTTTTCGCAGTCTTAAGGATGCAGACTTAGAAAAAAAAATAGTGGCCCATGCAACAAAAACAGTGTAGAATGGAAATAAACTACACAGACACACACAAATTTGTAATCAGTAAACTATGTGATTAGAAGATGATGCTAAATTGAAAAAAAAATCTAATCTCAAAAGGTTATAATCTGAATAGCTTACATGCAAATGTACAACAAATTCAGAGTAAAAAAAAAATTAATAGTAATTTTGTAGGTAAAATTTAAGAGGCATTATTAAAAAAATAATTCCTTTAAGCATTCTACATATTTCAATTTGATTATTAAATTTCAATATTTAGTATTTGTTATTTCATTCATAAAGAATAATAATGTTGAAACTTGGGTAAAAGGCTAGAATGAAGAATAATTACTACATTATGTTATGTAGACTGTAAAAGCCTGTTTTCTTTTTTCCCTTAACATTTTACTCCAGTCAATAAAAGAATTATACATATTATTTTAGATTTAAATTTCTAACTGCTATAAAATAATCTTCTAATCCTGTCTCATGACTGAAACAATTGCATATTATCCTATTGATACCAGTGGTTGGTGTTTAGCCAAAGTAAAAAGAAGACAAAATTTTGAATGTTGATTTTCAACATAGACAGGTCTTCCCCACTTGTAAGAGCGGAATAATACAATTTTCCCAACTCTCATTTCTCTTTTGCTTTGCACCAAATTAAACCAAGCTTAGTAAGTAACTATTAAGTAATTCACTATATTCATGTTACTTATTTCCTAGAGTAGTTTATTTAAGCAAACCATACATATATTTAAACCAAACCTTATTTTACATTTGGAAATATATGGAATTAATACCGCAATGTGTTGATAATATAAAACTTTATTTAATCTTTGATATCAGAGTTACAATTTATTATAAAAATACATCAAAACTTTCATTCTTTTTTTAATGATTATATATATTTTGAGATAACAAATTCTGGCAGTAGCAGAAGAAAATAAATAAGCAGTAATCCTGGTTGTATTTTGATACCAACTGCACTTGATACATGGGCAAAGTTTTAACATTTCTTATCACTACCCACTGACTTTACAATGACTCTATCACTACACAACATTTGCTTTAGACATTTTCTCTATAAGATATTTCTGGCAGGAAACAATAAATTTTGCCATTTTTCTTTTTTTTGTCTTTTTTTGGATATATCTAAAATATAGTAACTAGTATATGAAAATAGTCATATTGCCTGACACAGATTATTAATAAGTGTTATAATGAGAATTTAAACTTCATAAGTAACACATACGTCTCAATAAATAATCATGTTTACATTTAAATATTAGCATTGTTCAATCAAACTTTATAAATAATTAAATATGAACTAACCTGGACAGTCAAGATCATATATCAGAAAGAATCCAATATGAGTAAATAATGTCACCACAGGCATCCTGAAAAGAGAAAAGTCATTTTATTAATAAGTTATTCAACAGGAAATTGCTTATTTTCTTTATAAGTGTTTGATACTTGTTTTGGAAGGGAAAAATTAATATTTTAAGTTAATATTTATTAATTATTCTGTAAAACTTTTATTTTATTCTATTATTTTATAATAAATATTTATTAAGCTAAATTACTGAAAATTTTTCATTTTCATGTCTTTATACATTTAAGAATTCAAGCTTGGTCATAAAGGAACTGAAGCTGCAAGGAATATGAATTTCGTATTTACAAACAGTAAGATTTTGGTTTTAGAAAACCAGAAAAGTAATCAGTTAAAATTAATCAATGATAAAGATTCAAAGGTCACAGTGGGAAATTTTTAAAATATTCATTGTATTGAATGCAACTATTTCAAATTATTAAAAAAAAAAATGGGGGATCCATTTGAATTGAAAGAGAAACAAAAATGCACAGAGGTCTATATTAATGTTCACTGGTATGAAATTAATGTATTCTTGCATCATGCAATCATTTGTAATGAAAAATGAATATTGCTTATTAATCAGAGAAAATCTGTACAATGTTTGAATGTGGATAAGTCAAACTCTCAAATGAAACTGATTGGTGGAACAGTGACTTGATACATTATAACATCCTTCAAAATGGATTAAGAATGCATCCAGTTGTTCTAAACTCAAACAACACTTACTTTTATAAAAATAAAATATGTAATTTTACTGTATGATAATATCTTCCCTCATGTAGCAGAATGACATTTTGAAAAGGAATCAGTGAATAATAGAAATATTATAGCAGCCAGCCTTGTCACTCAATCTCTCAATTATGGATGAATATTTCCTTTTAAGTATCAAGTATTCTTTATAAGAATTTCTCTAATCAGGATTATATAGAAGCTTTCAAGAAGATTTTACTGATTCTTTGAAGAAGTCTACAACATGATATTTAATGCTAATAATACATGTACAAAGGACAACACAAAAGAGTCTTCAGAAGAATTTTTTTCTTGGTCTATTTATAACATAAGCACATTTAAAATCTCAAGTCATAATTTTGATTGATTTCAATATCTTCCAGCTTGTAAAACCTCATTTCAGCAAAAAAGAATTCAATATAAATATTTGGTAAACCAACTTTCATAGTAATTTATTTCATTTTAAAGGTGTTTTACTTGAAGTTCTTAATTATAAAAAAGAAATTCAATTTTATATTAATATACTGTCAATTCTTGGTGTTCTTTCATTTACAATATCTTATGTTAACATTATTATTGTTGAGAATTCTAACAATTACTTACTTAGTGCTTTAGATGATCTCATTAGTTAAATTAAAAAAATATTATTATGTTTTTCCTTCATAATATTATCATTTTGTTCTAAAATGAAAAATCTAAAGATAAATGCTTGAAACTATGTTTAAAAAATACTTATATATGCACACTGATATTTTGAAATTTTTATATTTCCCTGTCCCCACTCATTTCTCTGTTATTGGGACCAGAATCCAGCTAAATTGACACATAAATATTAATTTTATATAAAATCAATAACAAAATAGTTTACAACCTCCAATCATTACTAATAAAAATGTTTTATTTTATTAACATATTTATTCCTTGATATGTCATGTTTTTACCAGTTGTAGCATTAAAAATTGCTATATAAGCCTAATTAGGTTTTATTTTGGTGAATGAAATTAAATTCATTAAACTATAAAAAAAAATGATGTTAATGGTCATCCTTGGTGTTAATTTAGTTTTTACACTATTGGTGTCATGACATATTTGTGTATCATGATCATTTTTGTATGAAACAAAAGTAATGTTATTTATGATTACTGTCTGTTAAAACAAACCTAAGCAAAAATAAATGAATTATTTCCTAAGACTATTTGAAAATTATTATTTTTTATTTGTTATCTAACAAATCTGGATATTTTTACTTTATATTTTTATAACAAGTGTTCCACATATCATAAAGTAATTTTCATAATAATCTCTACAAGCTGATGCTAGTTCAAATATCATAGCCTTTTCATTTTAATTCAGTATTTATATCCATACTTATATTTATATAAAAAAACATAACTTAATTGTTAAAAAAAAATAACTTAATAAAAAGGTACCTCATGAGATTGCCACTGACACAAAATGTTTTACTATCATGAACTCTGTCTTTCAGGTTCAAACGTCTGAATTTTTTCACTGCAATAATCATGATCTTAATTCATCTATAGATTGTATTATAAAATGGCCAATAAAATATAATAGTAATTTTAAAATACCCCTTAAAACTTACAATATTTTTTTTCTAACCTAATTCAAGATTAGGAGCAATTTATTTTGGATACTACTCCCCCCAAAAAATGTAAATTCTCCAAAGAGAAAAAAATGCATATTCAAGCAGCCTATCATTAAACTTATAGAACCACTAAACAAATGAACAGCAAAACAGACATTGGCTTTTATTTACAAGGTGATGACCACCATGCAAAAAAAAAAAAAAAAAGAAAAATGTCAATAGTTTAGATCAAAAGATTTCTTACAGTGGTTGATATTGAAATAAAAATTCTGAAACTGACAAGAAAGAAAAATAATTTGTATAAAATTGATGTTAAAAAAGAAATATGCATCTCTTATATATATTTTAAACATCTTATATTTAGACAGTAATCCTTTCTTTAAAGATGGTTTAGTAAATAAAAAAGACCTGGAATGTTAGTTGAGCCATCTAGTATGTTTCTCCAGGTGTCAAAAAAATTATTTTCATCCCAAAATGAAACAACTTATTTGACACCAAGAGAAACTACCAAAAGGCTCAACTGACATTCCAGGTCCATTTTAACTATATATATATATATATATATATATATATAAATACTTTATAACTACTAGAAAAGGTAAAAAAAAATCTTTTTGCTTATTATTTAAATTGTGTCTTGTTTCTTCAAAAGGATTCCTGCTATTGTAGTTAAACATTATTAATGAATAGGTGTTCTCAAGACCAAATGATATGCTAACAGCAGTCTAAAAAAATATAAAGCCAAAAGTGCACAACTAGGCAATAACAATATCATCCTGGATGTTATTATTATCAGATGAAGTATTATCAAATATTAATCATTGGGATCTACAAAAATTATTACTACTAATACTATAGAAAAAAAATTACAGACAGCAGCACTGTGTTTAGGGAAAATAAGTAAAATATACGTTCAACAGTGACATTTTAATGGATAATATGGTACAATTTAAAAAAAAAACATTTACATAGAGATGGCTGTATTTTGGGGTCATATTATACTAAAGGATGTAATTTATTCAGTTTATAGCCTCAAAAATATTGGGTTGCATGATATACTAAAATCATATTATACACAAGAAAATGTATTTGGCAATATTATGGTCAGAGAAATGGTAGATATATATTTGGTGATTAAAGAGCTGATGGCACATTAAAACACAAGCACACACTATTCCAATTTTGGTTAACCTATTACCATTTATCAGCTCTTTGATCAAAGAATTGAAGATAACAAAAATTAGATTGCCTAAGAGGATGCTGAAAATTTCTTGGCTCTACCAACAATGCTTTTACACGTATTCAACCCCACAGTTCAACATACTTGGCATATCTTTTCTCAAGTTTCTTTAACCCTTCTAAAAAACAAATTCTGATGTTTGATGATTGAACCTGACCTGCTGCTGCTGCTGTTATCACCTCTGAATCATTTGAGAATTTCCTTTAAGGTTTGGAAATGGGGAAATAGTTAGATAAGCAAGATCTGCTAAATAGGGTGAATGATTAATGCACTCAAATCTCAAATTCTTCGAAACATCAATTATCTTGTCAGCCTTCTGAGCAGGCATAATGTTCCGCAAAAGAGAACACCTTTTTGCAGTTTTCCTTGCCATTTCTATTTTCAATATCTCATTTAATAACCAAGTTAGAGAATTAATTGTTTGGCCTTTCTGAAGATAGTCATCAAAATATTATTTTGCTGATCATGGTGGTATAAGTATGTTTCATAAAAATTAACAAATTGTTCCAAAATAGAATTAACACCAGTTTGCTGAAAATACAGTGAAATCAACTTGGAGGTGTGTTTCCTTTTATATTAATTCTAGTCATCATTCAATTAGTTGAATATACAGCCTCTCTGCATACAAACCTAAAGTGTTCCTCACATATCTATTGCCACAGCAGTTTTTAGGGCTGAGATTCATTCATCAAATAAAATTAGGTTATGAACATGTTCAACAATTTCAGATGTTAACACCAAATCTCTATACCACAAGTTGTTGCAACACTTCTTCATAGTTGAGAAGTGTCAAACACTTGTCTTTCAATTTTTTTTACAACATACATTTCCTTTGTGTTTTCTTTTAAATGAACAGGTACTTAATGATAACCAAGAATTTAATACTTGTAAATTCCACTTTCCAACGACATGGTTCAGTCAATGATATTTAATGAATTAAAAATGCTACTAACCTGCAAATTGGCAGATTATAAAATATAATAAATACTTTTTACAGCTGTAGCAACATAATGCTCATATTTTGGAAAGTGTGTTGGACTGGAAATTTTTCAGCAATCACTCATATTTACTATTTAAGGGTTCAGAAAGCCTAGTAATTTGGAAGCTGCAAACCAACATGAGGGCTGTAAGATTTTCTCTGAAGCATGATAAACATAAATTGTAGTAGAGCTGAGGTAGAATCATTGGCTAACTGAAGCCACATGTTAGGGTGTTGAAAATGCCTCTAATTTTATATGGATATTTGCTGGGTAATAAATTTCCAGCTATCTTTCTTATTCAGCTTATGTACAATTTCTTACTTCTTTACCTTGCATGTATAGAGTTTAAAGAGCAGTTGACTGGCTTCCTTGACCATGTTTTGGTTACATGCAGATGTGTTCTGCTATGAGACAGTGAGGTATTACACTTAGTTGCAGTAGTAGAAAGCAACATCAACCACTTAAATAAT